GACTACATTCAAAATATATTGGGCCTTGAGGTAAAAAATACGCCGTTCATCTTTTGTATTATAATGTTGCATAATTTTAGGTGGAGACAAATCAGTTGATCAAAATACCTCTGTGACAAAAGCTCTGAGAAACACTCTGTAGTTCGTATTTGGGTGCAATGGTCTGTTGTAATAATACTCTTCACCATTACTTCTCTTGCTCCTTATTTTACCGTTTGACTGGACTCCATCTCCTACGGTAAATTCTTGGTGATTGTTAAAATCATTTCCTCCAAACTGGAAAGTGACATAAGCTGCAGGTAATGGAGATTTGTGAGCTTCTTCATAAGTCATCAGCTCTTGTGTTGTAAAATCTGCTGGTGGGTTTACGACACCATTGTAGTCTGAGCGATATGTAATGACGATGATCTGGAAAAAACTGTAAGACCAAGATTCTTTTTTTAAGCTGTCGTATTAACAAGGTCTCAAAAACTGGTTTCACTGAAAACCCGAAATTACGCATACAATTGATGTAAAGAATATTCTAATTTTTAAAAACACGGAAAGAGACAAACACGAACTAAGAGGCTATTAACTGCGGAACATAATACAAAATCAGTTAGAGGTTATCAAGAAGATTATAAAGAGAGCATTCTCACAAGTCTTTAAAATTATGTGAACTACTATAACTGCGGCATCCAAAAGTTATGATAACAGGGCTTATACTTAGTGTTCAAGAATTTTTTCTTCATGATTGGGGTTCATCTACTAACGCTATTGGAGATTAAACACAGTTGAGAACCAGCCTTAAAAAGCTTTCCTGGTATTTAGAAAGTATCCTAGATTTCGTATATTTGTTGAAGGGGAGAACTAAAACTTGCTCAACATACCTTGCATGTCCCATAAAATTTGGAAGTGTTATTTTTGCTGTGATTCCTCCGTCGCTAGAGAATTTTGCTGGGGAAGGCTTTTCACGAGACCAAACTTCACCTGTGAAGGGAAATGTATGGTCTATTGAAGAGGAAATTCATTTATGAAGAATTTCTGGTACAAAGTAATCACTTTTTATGAAGCGACCCTTACTATACATGATATCTATCACGTGGGATTTAAAATGTGCTCAATAAGTTCAATAAACCAGAGCGACCAAGAAGATTTCTGAGAGGAAAAGATAGAATCAAGCAATTAAAATGGCGCTCTGTGGACTCAGAAATACAGAATTTAAGTTGCTCCTCGTTTCAACATTTAATATGAATTTCAAGCATTTCTTCACTTTTTTCCTTTTTGATTTAGAGTCCATTACTTTCTGCCAAAAGACATAAATTAGTTGATATTGCAACCTGTACTGCGAAGCACACTCTGCAAGGGGAAAATAAGGTATAAACGAGACTGTGAAAAAAAAGATGATAATGATGATGATGATAATAATAAAAATAATAAAAATAATAATGATAACAATAATAATAATAATAATAATAATAATAATAATAATAACAGTCTTTATACAGGGGGCTCACGTCACTGGAAAGTGCTATTCCGTGAGGCCCTGTAAAATAAATAGATAACAAGTTAAAAACATAAAAACTAGGAAATACACTAAACATGTTCATAAAAGTTGCTTAATTATTCAATCGATAAAAGAGAGGAAATAACAGAACAAAACAAATTGTAGAGGCTAAAAGAAACTTGTCACTAACCGAACTAAATATATAGTTTTTCACTCTTCACTTAAAAACGAGGAAAGAGTCGATTTCTTTAAAAGAAGCGCCTAAACATTCCATTTTTTTGCGCATAGGTATAAAAGTCTTTGTTTACCATAGTTTCTTTTAACAAGAGGAAGGCGGAAATCGTTCTTTCTTCTTATATTGTAACTGTGGATGTCAGAATTTCTTAAAATGTTTAAGCTATAATCCACAAGCAGTTATAGCTTACTAGACTTTACTAGAAAAAACATCGTATTTAACGTCAAAATATTTTGCGTCTTTAACTAACCTAAAGTCTGAATCACTAAAGGCTCGCTGTAAGGTCCAGGTCCCGCCGCAGTGAAGGCTCTAACCGACACTTCATACCTTGAGCAGATTGAGAGACTGGACAACAGCATCTCAGTTTTAGTTGTGTTGAATGTCGAATTAAACGAAGCGTCAACCGAGAAGCAACTTTCCTTCAACAGAAGTCTCACTTGATATATTTTAATGAACCCATTTGCAACCTCTCTGGGCAAACCATTCCAGGATAACTGATATTCTGTACGCTCAATTTCGATAGACAATACGTTTTCTGGTCCACGGCTGGGCTCTAGTGAAGAGAGAGAAAAAAGCCTCAATAAGCTTCCAAGTATAGATTGAATCCAGAATGGAAAATGAGCTAGTACTCCAGTATCGGTGAACAAACGGATCATTGTTTACCAAGCAAACCAATGTACAAGCTTAAAATGTTTTATGTTTCTCCCAATATTTCACACAGGATCCTTCTGGCATTGCTAAAGCCAGAACAATTTGAAAAGTCTCGGTAGTTTAATTTCATTTCACAAATCTTTCAATTTTCGACAGTCCAGATATTATGTTTAACTTCTTTCTATACAAGACTCCACCATGATGCTTGATCACTAACAAAATTCATGTATTGAGCATTAACAAAATCATTACTTTTCCCCTGATGCTGAACATACCGTACTCTTTGGTTTTCACCGAAAAAGTGGCATTCTGTCCCGGTTTGATAGTTACAGCTGTGATATAGAAATGATAAGTAACTCCGCCCAGGACATCTACTAAGTAACTGAACGCGTCTCCTCCAACACTTTGCTTTGTTTCACCATCTTTGTTTGCATAGAACAGAGTGTAACTCCTAATGATTCCATTAGCTTCTGCTGGCTTGCTCCAAGTCAAGTTTAATCTTGGACCATGCATCTTATTCGGGGCAACTTCCTTATAGGCAAACGAAAGAGGAGCGCTCGGTGCTATTAAAAAAATAAGAAGTATGAGAGGTAAGAAGAATTCTATTTCCTGCATTATAACGCTCATTTTCCCTATCACCTTGCATTTCCTTCCACTATGACGTAAAAGGATATTTCAAATTTTTATATCAGTCATCAGGATGTCATTAATTGCATGAGCGATCATTTTCTGTGATTAATATATCTTTTCACCTTGATTTACCACATACCGTCTTCCTTGGTTCTCTCTACCTTGACCGGGGTCTTTGGGCCATCCCCATCTGATGTAAAAGCTAAGATGTGAAATTCATATTCTGTGTTCTTATCAAGTCCCACAACATTTTGACTTAATGTTGATTCGCTGTTGATAAGCAAGGTGGTTTCTAACCCTGCTGAACTTTTTTCTTTATAGAACAATTTAAACCCTGTGATGTTTCTTCCATGTCTCGCAAGTACTGGTGGTAGCTGCCAGGAAGCTATGATGCTAGTAGAGGAGCTTGCAGTCAAATTGAAGTCTGCCGGAGGTTGTGATGGAACTGAAATAAACAAAATCAGTTGTGTTCTTTAATTTTTAGCTGATTACCGATTGATGTGTATGTAAACATACCTCCATAGAAAAAGCATTGGACGTTCCAGTCTGAAGGGTCATCTGCAGTAGGGACTGTGTATATGCATCAGATATACATTCTTTATAACCTGAGTGTGAAGATGCTCCACACGGCATGAGACGATTATTTTCCCATAGACACCTTGGGGGTCCCAGAATCTTCAATGCTTAGAATCCCAGCATATCATAAGGAGTATGATCAACATTAAATCTTAGCACAACTTTGTTTGGTGAAAGTAGACCCTGAAGGATCTCAGCGAAGTCAGTGAGATATTTAAAGATCGATAGAAATTAAATCTCCATCGGTCAGCTGTTAAACTGTTACAATCATTCTCACTCAGTCAAGGCTCAATTAATCTACATTAGAGAATACTCTTTACCCATTGTCTTTTGCTCTTTAGCTCCTTAAGCTTTCATTAATAATTAGTTATTGTGACTTAAATTCGTCGCAGCAAAAGCAAATAAATACCTTTAGTTAAAAGAATGCCATAAACTTCCACCATCAGAGCCTTCCAGTTATAATAGGCTGTCGGCTGAAAACGGATAAACTTTGCACTTGCAAATTCCCGTAGATTGTTTTTAATGATGTCTCTTTGATTTGAGTTTCCTGGAAAGATCTGTATTTTTTTGTACAAAATGCAACATCATTATATGAAAATTTTATTAATTAATCTACTGCATCACTCATTATCAAAAGTATCAGCTCTTCCATGAACTTTGACTTCCGTGTGGGAAGTAGTGAAATGAATGAACAAAGACTTTCCGTATAAGTATATGTCTCTAATGCCTAATGCTCTTTTGTTGGAAAACTACTACGAAAAATGTATGTGACTGTTTATCAGAAGTTGAAATAGTATTTCTGCAGAGAAAATTTAGGGGAGAGGTTTATCTAACACACACTCAAGGAAAAGTTGGTGTTCATATCATGACGTAACTGTAGGTAATATTCCACATCAAGTGTTTTTAAATTTCTCCTCAATTTTTGAGAAAACAGGTAAGTTGCATTGTTAAATTAAGATGTAATGGATAATAACTCCAAATGACTCGGACTTCTTAACAACTATACAATCTTGAAAGTGAATTGTCTTTACATGTATGTACCATCCACAAAGTTTTGTTTTTACAGGAAAAAACAATGCATGTTCAAGTATCCGTTTGAAAGCATTATTTGTCATGTGGTGGCGCAATTAAATTTGTCACACTGATAGTGTTGTGTGCACTTGTATATCAATAAAAAAAGAGTCCTGGAAACTGTTCATAGAAAGAGAATTGAATCTGAATGTTGACAAGTTGAACACCTTTCTTTCCTATGACTCAAAACAATTGATTGGGTGTGCCTGGTTGGCATTTTCAATATGTACAAACACACGCAAACCTACCTTGTCAATATTGTTTTCTTTATAGCTGAAAAACGTGATGCCATCCAACGATAGGTGAATCTTGTAGTTTATTGTCCACTCATTGATACCATTCGCTCCTTGGGTAGCTACAGCACAGATAACGTACTCATACAGCAGATCAACTTGTAAGAAGTCAGCAGGATCGGTCGTATTCTTAGGTGCCCAACCTCGATTTTTCCCATTCAGTCGACCATAAGAAGCTTTATATCTATTATCGTAATATGATAAGGCTGTGAAGCTGCTGTCAGGAATTGCACCACCACTGGCTAGACCAATGGCCTCCATTTTGCAAGCTGCAAGATAATAATTTAAAACATGAAGCCTTCACATTTTGACACGAATTATGTGAATAATTAAAGTGAATTAAGAATTAAGTACCTTTTATAGCATCTACGGAATAATTCACCTCAACTTAATTTAAGGTAATAGTTTTACGTCAATGGTTGCCTATATCATGAGTAGAGGCTGCACACATACAAAACATTTTCCCTCTCCCTGAGACAAAATCACTTATGCTCAAGCTTATCAAGCCTCTTTTTCCTCTTTTTTAATTAAAGAAGATAGTAAATAGTTGACAAACCTAAGAAAAGATTCATACCTATGAACACAGTTCGAAAGCTGGACAGAGATTTCCACGATTTGATTGGTTAAGTGATTCATAATTATAACGTTACATCTACTGCACTTTGCAGTCAGTGAAACCTTTACTTTCCCCTTCTTTCCCGTGCAAAACCAAAAGTCTGTTAGCAGTTAATTTCAAGGTTTCACCTTTTTTTAGTGGAATATTCTTATGAGGTGAGACTAAACAGTATTGCTGAAACAAATGAACATTTAAATATATTTGTGCAGGGCACAGCATGCACTCGGAAGCTAAGCATGGAACTTGAATCCTTATGCAATTTCATAGATGCCGAACGTGACCATACTTTTACTGGCAATAGGAAAACAAATGGGCAGCTCACACAATAGTCTGCTGATTTAAAATTTCTTCGACTAAGTGAGCTTGCGTGTGTACAGGTAACTCTGCAGCCCATGTCCTAAATCCCATGTTTTTACACTGTGATTTAGAAGCACATCGTTAGGTCATGTTGCCCATCAAGAAATGCAATGGTGATGCAAATTTCTGTGGGTGAATTGGAATATATTACGCATTTTGTTCAATTGCTTAACCTTAAGGGAACAGAATGTGCACAGAATCACATAATAAGAGCATTACACCAAATGAAAGCATTGATCACCGAAGTCTCTGATTTTTAGTTCTATAATTATCGTGGATATGTGATATCTACGGTTCAACAGAGAGTATAGGGTGTTGCTTATCAAACTCTCCAATGGTCAAATTTAAAATTATTTCAATACCATTCTCACTCAGCCAAGGCGCAAGCAATATTTGGGAAAATTGAACTTGCCCTCATAGCACTGTATAATTACCTAGTCTTTGCTTCCATAGATAATAAGTTATTTTGAACTCAATGTTGTCTCAGAGGGAGACAAAAATGAAAGCAAAAATATACCTTTAGTTGGAACTATTCCGTAAACTTCCACTCTCAGAGCCTTCCAACTATTATATGCTGTCGGCTGAAAACGGATAAACTTTGCACTTGAAAATTCCTTTAGACTGTTTTTTGTGATGTTGTTTTGATCTACGTTTCCAGGAAAGACCTGTAGTTTATTGTAAAAATGCAACATTGTATCAAATTTTCGTAATTGATATACTGCATCATAAACTACAAAAATTATTAGGTACTCCATGAACAACGACTTTGAATTAGCAATAGCTAAACGAATGAACCCCAGACCATGTTTTTCTGAACAAGTACGTCTCTGAAATTTAATGCGATTGAAAGACCGGTTCATAAGTCCAGAAGTCTTATCATTATTGGACTTATCAACAACTTAAAAATGGTGAAAACGTATTTTATGTACTTATAGGTACCATCCATTATATTTTTATTTTTAAAAGACAGAACGATGCATGTTCTAAGTATCAGTTTGTAGTTCCCTTGAAAAAGAAGTGAACCTGAATGTTGACAAAATGAACACCTCTTTCTTGTCGCACATCTTGACTCAAAAATTTGATTGTGCCTTCCAAGTGATTATTCTAACTTTTTAAAAATATGTACAAAGTTATGCATGATCTTTATGTAAACCTACCTTGACACTACTGTTTTCTTTATAGGTGAAAAACGTGGTACCATCCAATGATAACTGAATCTTAT